GTCAGCTGTGTCTTAAAACCGAAACTTCATTTTTGCATGTTTTAAACCAACCTTCTAGTATCTGTAGTTGTAGCTAGACAGTATCAACAATTCTATGGGCAGTTTTTCTCGGTGTCTGGATATTAGGAATCATACAAAAAGAAACAAAAATAAGTATCAAGTGTTTAACTTTTTGTCTTTATCCTCTTCCAGAATTTTTTTACTTCCTTTGATCCTGTTACCTATTTCCTGCAATCCCATAATAGTAGTACTTTGAGCTATCTAAGATTGTTTTAGCAGAAGGGGAACCATTCCAAAATATATTTTCCCCAACTACAGAAAAATGTTGATATTACAATTTAAGTAATATACTTATTTGCCTAGGACAAAATGTTATTTTTGTCTAATAAGAGAGAATTACAGAATACTTTTTTAAATGAAACTCATGCTTTCATTTCTGTTGTGCTTTCCAATAACAATGTTATACTTCTTATGAGATGAAATGATGAGATTCTCTAAGAACAGGTTGTTTCAAATCTTTTTCCTGCTAGAATTCTCTTCTAACTGAAGAAATTTGAGGTGAAATATTGCTTCCCCTCCGAAAATGTTGTTATTTTGTAGTGATCCTTCTTTATTATTTAACGTTTACATTTTAGGGATAAAAAGTTTTCTTTCTATTTTTCAGTAAAATGTTTTTGAAAGCGAAACTATGCCAAGATATTTTTGGTGTGTTTTTATTACCCTTATGAGAGCTACGCCTTTTTATTTTTGTATACGAAAACACAAGGGCCACCAAAATATCTCGATTCAAAGCCAGCAAGTTGTGTAACTTGACATTTTAGATGTAATTGTTTATTACTTGTTACTTATTAATGCCCTTGTGGTTGTAGCTTTTGGTTTATTGATGAGCACTAAAAGACCGGCCACTTCCTGTCTTATTTCTAGATGTCTGGTCTGAGTTTCTTCATTAGCCACAAAACCTTAGTGGTTACCCGGTCATGGCAGAATAGTGCCTGACATGAGTTATGCTCCATAGCAGATATGGGCAGTCCTAGACTGTGTGTTTTTTTCCTTCTGTTGTTTGTTTGCACAGGATTGCAGCTGAAAACTTTTTGTTTGTTTTAGGTAAATGGAGTAGATTTAGCAGGCAAATCCCAAGAGGAAGTTGTTTCACTGTTGAGAAGCACCAAGATGGAAGGAACCGTGAGCCTTCTCGTCTTTCGCCAGGAAGATGCCTTCCACCCAAGGGAACTGGTGTGTAAATTTAGAGCACATGAAAGATTTCTGATGCTCAGGAGCCAGGGTTCTGGGTTAGCTACCTGATGGCAAATGTTTATTGCGACCTTTTCCAAAGAGTTTCTATATCTAATATTTCTTTCAGCCCTAAATCAATACAAGCATTCTTTTCTCTAATACGCCCTTAGTATTAGAAATGGGTATCCGCAGAAATGAATGGAGGAGTATTTAAACATCAGACTGTAGGGATATTTTCTAAGACATCAAGTGTTTACCACTGCACACTCTCAGATGGACTGACTGAGTACAGAGACGTTGATTATCTCAGAACTGTCACTCCACAGGCTGTCGCTGAAAGCTTGCCATCTTTCCCACTAAAACATGATACATTTTCATATTTCAGATTTTCGTAGTGCGTGTCGCTAAGCCAAATAAAGATGCTTGCTTACTGTTGTGTGAAAAAGAGTACCTCAAAAAAAACAAAAAAACTATTATTGAAAACAAAAAGACCTAAGTGGCAATATGCCCCATGGCTATTGATGACAAATATAGGTGACAATATTTGGGGTGGCATAAATGAAACGAAAAGGCATTTGTTTGCAACCTCTCTGCTTCACTTTTTGTACATACATCAAAATGCCTAACGATCAGGGGCATTTCCATGGTATAGGTGTGAATAAAATATGTGTCTTGAATTTCCATAGTTTTGAATGGTTTTCTGCAAGAAGTGCTAGGGGTTCATTTTTATATAAAGCGACATAATTGGAGGAGTTGCCTTTCTCTTTTGATGTGCTGAGAAAGTGTGTTATTTCAAGTACAAGTGGTATTTTAAATATTTCAAAACAGTTTCTACTTGGATCATCTTAGAATATACAACATCTCTTTTAGCTAGCTTTTAGCTTTTTCTAAAGAATTAATTTTTATAAACTAGAGTGGCAAGGTTTTAAGGACGCAATCCCCAAATATTTCATATAGCCCTAATTCACGTAATTTATGTCGCTGAGCATGGATGTACCATGGTTGATAAAATTTTCCTT